CAATTCATTTCCTCGCTGACATTTTTAATTTTGTGAAAACATTTCAAGACATTTGGTGTGTAATGGCTAGCAAAAAAAATGGTACAAAATATTTAAGTAAGATTACTATCTAATTCAGAAAGCAAAAAAAATATATTAAAAACATTTCTGACAGTTTTTTTTTTTTTTTTTTATTTTGATACAGAACTAAGTGGAAATTTAATATAAATGGGTTGAAAAATTAAACTGTAACAAGTGTTATCGAAAATAAAAAAAAGGTGATTTATTTTTAGCACGGCAGCAACGTTTGCTTATTAAAAGTTGTTTCATAATAAGATGGCTCATAGTTATAGTTTTGAAAACCCTATTGTAGGATGTATATTAGGTCAAACTGAACTTAATTTCGTTAATACTGTTTGGATAACAAATTTTAACTTTCTAATACTTAATTTTAAAAAGAAAATGTATCCATATTTTAGAAAATTGCTACCAAAATGCAGCTTTGTTTCCCTTTAGAAAAAAAGTATGTATAGGAAGTCCCAATTGTTAAGCAGTCTGGTGAGAATTTTCTGGGTTTTCTTCATACGACACGCAAATGCGTGATACCCTAAATGCTTCTCCGTTTTGAATGTGCGGTGTGTGAGTACTTTGTTGGACAAATGGGAAAGTATAACAACTTTGAAATATTTTTGAAATAAACATGAAACATCATTATTTATCAAATATCTTAAACTCTTGTAAAGGAATTTGAAATTTTACTTTTTAACGCATACAGAATTGCCACAAGCTGAAGGAGTTATGTCTAGTTTGCTAGCTTCTATTTTGTTTATATTCCACTGATTTTTTATCTATCATGGCACAGGTCTGTTTTAGTCATTTAAAATAATATTTTTAAATGTTTTTACCTCCATTTATACCCTGAGTTGCCGTGGATATGTGTAGTGGTTCGGAATTCACTTTAAACTGTAGGTGCCGACCTGTTTAGCCCTCGTGTGCAGAAGATGACCGTAGAGCGACTAATCAAACCAAACCAAACCTCCATTTATAAAAAGTTGTAAATGAAAAAACGTAAATCGATACGAGCGGCTGTTTTGTTTTTATTCTACTAAAAAAATTAGAAAAACGCATGGTAAGAAAAAAAAAAATACATGTAAAGTATTTTAAATTATTAAATTAAATTATATATTATATAATTTAAAAATTCTGACATATATAGTAGCTAATTTTAAATTTGATGGAGCATCTAGTCCCACATCTCATTCATTATCATTGGCAAAGATATTGAAAAGTTTATCTTCTTTTCCTTTTTTTTTTTCCTTTGTGAACAAGTTTTTTTTGGCATCAGTTGGCAAATTTTTCTTTTTTCAGTATTTCTTTCTTTAGCTCCTGAGATTGTTTGACTTTTTCAGAAAAATTGTTGCTACAACTTCTCAACTGAATTCTTCACTTTCTGACTTTTACTACCTCGCAGTAAATCCTTCAACATCCCCAAGTTGTGTAACATCAAACTTTCAAATGTGTTCCTTTCTTTGCATTCTTTGGAGGAAAAACTTCTTCTACCTTTTCTGACATGAATTTGATGACTCTACCTTTTTTATACGTCTTTTCCTACCGTCATTTTTAAAAGCCACTGTAATTTCTTTGAAATTATCTGTTACTTTAAACTTGTTAAGTTTATCTTTTGCGAATTTTTCCATAGTTCATTTTAAGTTTCCAGAGTGGTTTTTTTTTTTTTCCATTTTATTTCCATTAGAGTTTTCAGTTGTTGTATCATAAAAACTTGTATTCAAAAATATTTTAAAACATTTTCTTTAGTTGCTGAAGGCCGTGCATCTGTAACTTCCATCAAATCTCATTTTCTGAATGTAAACCCACAGTTCTCTTTCTGCCACACTGTTAGATATTTATTATGGACCTCTTTTGCAGACTTCTACCAACCTTTTGTTTAATGGTTGCAACTCATCAGTGGTATGTACGGTATTTTAATGAGCACAATGTTGTTATCCACAGCTAGCTTTATTATATTCATTAACAAATGCGACAAATAGCCATTAATAAGGAATTATATTTAATAAGGAATGATAAAGGCTTTTGAATAGGGCTTGTTTGAAAGGCACTATTTTTGTTAAGTTAAAAACAGGTTCTGATGTCATCCAACCAGATACACTGACATCGTAAGTTGTACTGCGATAGCACTTATGCGCCTTCTATTCACTTCTGTCCGTACATTTAATAGATTTAAAAATAATGTGAGGCAGAAAAATATTACCAATGTAGAATTTTTCTCCCGAGAAGAGATATATCATTTCTATACCAGGGAAAGGAATGTACATACTTTAGACAGCAGATAATCATGTCATAATAACAACCATGAAATTAGCGATTGTCACTCAAATCTGTCACAGCAGATAATCAGTGTCATGGATAATGAGACATATGAAATTAGCGATGCTGTTAGTGTCTTGCTCTAATGAGGACAATCTGTCACTCAAATCTAACAGCAGAGATAATCAGTGTCATGGATAATGAGACAACATGAAATTAGCGATTGTCTGTTCTGTAGTGTCTTGCTCTAATGAGGACAATCTGTCACTCAAATCTAACAGCAAATAATCAGTGTCATGGATAATGAGACATCATGAAATTAGCGATTGTCTGTTCTGACTTTCACCGGTCGATTTATTTATTATTCATTTCAGTGGGACAAATTTCTACCTGGGTCAAACAAATTCAGTTTACTTGATTCTCTCGGAACCTTAGTACATTAAGACACTGTACAGAAGTATACGAAACATTTTTATTTTATAAAAGGTTCATTATATTCAAATTTATAAAATATAAGACATCATAAATATTATGACCACAAAAACTGTTTGTTCTAAATAATTACATTAAGAAGAATTTTTTTACAAGAATCACGCATTGCCAGAGATTATTACAAGCTTCATCAGAGTTTAAGTAGTGGCTGCAACGGATGTGCAAACAGTGCTTTTCAAACAAGCCCTCTTCAAAAACCTTTATCATTCCTTATTGATGGCTGACTCATTTAACAGTGAATGTAATAAAAAAAATCGTTTTGGACAACAACATTGTCTTCATTAAAATATAATACATACCACTGATTCAGTAGTGGCTGTAACAACAAATTTCTCAATAACACTATGGATCAATATAAGTATAATGGCATGGTAAATAAATTCTTCATAAGAAAATTTCGGTCAACAGTAGGGCTTCAATTTCTAACAGCATACTGAATTGAGTATTCGATTATAGCTTGCTTTAAAACTGTACAGAAGTAATTGAAATGTGTCCTCAATATTTGAAATCAGTTACTGAAATGCGTCCTCAATGTTTGAAATCAGTTACTGAAATGTGTCCTCAATATTTGAAATCAGTTACTGAAATGTGTCCTCAATATTTGAAATCAGTCACTGAAATGTGTCCTCAATATTTGAAATCAGTCACTGAAATGTGTCCTCAATATTTGAAATCAGTCACTGAAATGTGTCCTCAATATTTGAAATCAGTCACTGAAATGTGTCCTCAATATTTGAAATCAGTTACTGAAATGTGTCCTCAATATTTGAAATCAGTTACTGAAATGTGTCCTCAATATTTGAAATCAGTTACTGAAATGTGTACTCCTATTTGAAATCAGTTACTGAAATGTGTCCTCAATATTTGAAATCAGTTACTGAAATGTGTCCTCAATATTTGAAATCAGTTACTGAAATGTGTCCTCAATATTTGAAATCAGTTACTGAAATGTGTCCTCAATATTTGAAATCAGTTACTGAAATGTGTCCTCAATATTTGAAATCAGTTACTGAAATGTGTCCTCAATATTTGAAATCAGTTACTGAAATGTGTCCTCAATATTTGAAATCAGTTACTGAAATGTGTCCTCAATATTTGAAATCAGTTACTGAAATGTGTCCTCAATATTTGAAATCAGTTACTGAAATGTGTCCTCAATATTTGAAATCAGTTACTGAAATGTGTCCTCAATATTTGAAATCAGCTACTGAAATGTGTCCTCAATATTTGAAATCAGTCACTGAAATGTGTCCTCAATATTTGAAATCAGTTACTGAAATGTGTCCTCAATATTTGAAATCAGTTACTAAAATGTGTCCTCAGTAATTACATTGATCCTAGATAAAGGGAATGGGGAATCGCACAAAAAAAAAAAATGTCCTATTCCTATATCGGACTTTTTATACCTATCATGTTAATTTAAATAATTATCTATATTATATAATTCATACGTATTTAATCGATGATTAAAATAAAATATTTTTGTTCTCTTCAAAATCATTTAAAAGTTAAATAATGCATTAAATAATGGAAATGCAATGCTGAGTCACATATATAAAAACTGATTTTACTTATTCCAGACTCTTTTTCGTAATTTTATGAACTACGGTCTTTTCCAGCGGATTTAGAAAATTTATGAAATATATTTAATAGTTTTTATTGAACTCATATTTCTGAAAAAAAATGTTATTGTATTAACGTGTTGTATGTTATTTTACAGTGTTGTAATACTTGCTCTCGTTTAAAAGGTATACTTAAAAAAATATATGCCATATAAATCGGCGGCAAAAGTGTTATAGAATAATTGAAGACATGTCAAAGAAAATTTTTCCCATTTTAAGCACAAAAATTCTGTATTTGTAGTACATTAAATCTTATTTTTTAAATAATAGAATAGCTTCTCATAGATCTTATTGTTGTTGTTTTTATCTCTACTTGGCTGGCCAAGCCCACGAGCCCATACGTACTCATGATTGAAGGGGAAGGAAACAGCTTCTGTTGTGATGGAGCACCCGTAGGTAGAAGTCTTGACTTTGGCTCCGTGACGCTCTTGCAGTCATAGGAGACCGGGACCTATGGTTTAAAATGGATTCCGAACCACTACAGACATCCATGGCACCGCCGGGATTCGAACCCGAAACCTGTGGCACCGAGCGCCAGAGTGCTAGACACTCGGCCATTCAGGTCCCAAATTTGTGAATGCCAACGGCACGCGGTGTTCCCAGGTGGTCACCCTCCCAAGTACTGATGCTTGACTTCAGTGATCTAACGAGAACCGGTATATTCAGCATGGCATGGCCGTTGGCATGCCATGTTGATCTTATTGTTGATCTAAGATAGCTTTTTGTAAGCTTTAGTTCTGAGAAAAGTATCTCAACACTTAACATGGTATGCAGCTAAAGCAATCATTGTCATTGCTACTAGTTGCATTATTGAAGGGGAAATTGACATGCCACCTTAATATTTAATTTTAACATTAATTCCTAGAAATTTTCAAAATTAAAATTATTTTTATAAAAGAGTTAGGTGTCGGAATTTTTAAACCGACTCTTGATTCTGAATCCTTCAAAAACGTTCGACACAAGAGTTCTTGCTCCTGACTCCTCAACTCTGCTGGGAAATAAAACTCGAAATTTTCTATTCCTTGCCAATCGCCAATATATCCTTTTTTATTGAATCACTCTTAGAATGGAACAGAACTCTTATGGGATTTACGCACATTTCTGCCAATTCAACTATATAAGTTTTCTTACCTGATAATCATGGAATTGTTTTTATTTTTTGATGCATGATCATGGCTGTCAATTTCATGGCTTCAACCCACGAAATAATCAGATATTCATTTACTGCTATATATATAAAACGATATATTTAAGATAGATAAAGCAGTTGAATCTTCTTAACAGTTTAAGTTATTTTTAATAGTATAACTTTTCTCTAAATTAGCTTCTAAAAAAAGATTCTAGCTTGGTCTAAATCATAGCTATATTCTAATTATATACTAAACATTACATAATTACATTATAGTTGAATATTATAAACAGATGGTTACATTCAATATGGCATATCATGCTTAAAAAATATTTTGTAGCATTTCGTTCCTAGGAGAGAGGAATGGATATTTTTAACTACATAACAACAGCCTATCGCTCAAATTTGAGAGCAGATAAGCGGTGTCATGGATATTTATATTACATGCAATTAATGTTTTGTACTAATGATAATAACCTGTCATTAAAACATGACTACATATTGCAGTGTTGTAGATATTTATATTACATGCAATTAGTGTTGTTGACTAATGAGAACAACCTGTCACTCCATTATGACAATAGATAATCAGTGTCATGGATAATTTGAAAGTTTATTACTTAAGTAAGATATTACGGATCTGTATAGTCATGTTATGAAAATAATTCTTTTTTATTGTATCTATCCAATTCACTCCATATAAATTCTACGAAACATTCTAAAAATAATAATTCTTTAATTAAGATCCCATCAGCATGTACTTCATTACCGTGTGACCTGCACATAATTATTACTATTACAAGCATTTATCAAATTTGTCATTTTCAGCACTCGAGACGTCGTTCCTGGACAGATTTCTAGATTTAATTATCCAGCTCGCGATGGCAACACTAAAAAAAATGGCGAGAGAGCATCTAATTAAATTCAATATTGCCAAACGGAAAAAAGAAAAAAAACGAACAAAAAAATTTTTACAGCTAGCGAAAGAGGACAGAAAGCATACAGTTTCTAGAAAATTAATATTCTACAGAAAGAAAAAGAAGAAAAAAAATGGTACCGTTTCAGTTGAGTTAATTTAATTGAATTCTTGACGATTATGAATTCAATCTGTGAAATTCTTTTGGTTTATCTTTCCAAAAAAGCATTAAAACGGATACGAAGAGAAGACTTCTTTATATTAATTCAGTTATTTGATGCGAAATGCTTTGGAACATGAAATTTGCAATAAGTTTATTAAATTGAAAGAATTAATGGCATTACCCAACATTCTAGATTAAATTATGTAACTTATTAATTTTGATTTCAACGACAAAAGTATTTTTATTAAGAAAAGATGCAAATTGAATATTTTAAAAATATATGAATTGTCTTATATTATTAATTAAGTTTCTGATTTCTTTGTACAGATTTAAAATATGTCAAATGGTAATATAATATTTCGATACAGAAAAAATGAACACATGTTCACAACATTTACTGAATTGATAATTTATTTTATCACTTAATGTACAGAAATACATTTATTCATACCTTGATGTACAAGTTAGTTATAATTAAACTAATTTGTATAAAGTAAGTTTAAACTAAGTTAATTATATATTAAACTAATTTAGTACAATTAGTTTAATATAAACTTAACTTCTAAGTTAAGTTTATAATGGCATTACTAAGTTTATATTAAACTAACTCGATAAGCAACTACTTGTATGTATAATTTGTAACCACATTTGGTGTAGAAATTATACACGAGATGCTCGAAAAATAATTTAGTTCAGAAATTAATTTTTATTAAATATAATGAAAAAAATTTAACAAAATAAAATAATCAACGCGAAATATACATTCAAAAAGATTTAGAAAAAAATGATTTATAAGAAATAAAATGTAAATAGCTATATACACAACATGTCTGAGAATAAAACATTTGCAGAAATTATTATGCTTCGTTCTAACGTTTCCAGCTGTCACTATGATAGCACCGTTAGTTGAAAGTGCGTTATTGGTAAAGCTGTTTTACAAAATCGAGGGGAATACTTTTTGCTGCGGTTCTTGAAGTTCGTGGCATACAGAAACTATGGCGTGGACCAATGTTTACTAAAGGATCCGGGCCATGATTGAGATATGTGTAGAGATCAGAAATTAGAAGTTCTACCCGGAAGAGGTCGTAAACCTGCCACATAGATATTTGCTGTTATTGTCAAGACGGCTATTGTCGAACACTCACAGATGATTTTGAGGCAGTAGCGCACATGCAGTAACTCGAGAGACAAGCTTTCCTTATAAACCACCCGGTAAGTGTTCCGAAACATAATTCCTTTCTTCCAGTACAAGATCCACCATACCAACAGATGCTTGATATGGACAAGTCACAACGACTGGCATTCACTATTTGCTTTCTCAACAGAATGGCCCTGGAATATTTTGTGGAGCGACGAGACACATTACTACCTGAATGGGACACTTAACACACTAAATTATCGATTTCGGCTAAGGAAATCTATGGATGTATGATAAAATTCTTTTATATTCTCCAAATAACTACGTCATTTCACATGATCTGTTATTCCTTGATACCATGATATGCTACAGAAAATTATCCTCAACTCCAGACACAGGCAATGCCTTACATTGGCAATTTTCATGCAGGATGGTGCACCATCACATGTCCATACATCCGTGAAGGCACTTTTGCTAAAATACTTCACGGATGAACGTTTTATTAGTCGGTCCTTTGTTTATTATTAGCCACCACGTTTGCCTAATCTAAAGAGTAATTTCTCGTTATGGGGTCTCTTAAAAAAAATCTGGTTTTTCTTGGAGATGTTGCGGCGTTGGATGTCTTAAAGAACTACGTTAGGCTTCCAGTACAAAGCATCACACCTGATCAGCTACGATCTGCTGTTAAACACATTGTCCATTGTTTTGAAATTTTGCTGGTGAATGAGGGTAATCAGATTGAGCATCTTTCATTGCATCGACGTGGACAAGATTAACAACTGCTCCTCTTCTGACATTTGGACTCCTCACATGATATTTGGTCTTTTATTATTGTGACGTTTGGACTCCTCTCGTGATATTTGGTCTTCTTTCCTGACATGCTTACTGTCATTTATTTCCTTCCCTTTTTCAAATGTGGTTCTATGACAAGGTTATTAAAAACCATTCAATAAATGTTCAGATTGTTTATGTATTCCATGTTGGTGTTTTGTTAGATTTATAGTTTTTCTATGAAACACTCCAACTAGGGGACATTTTTTTTCTATTTTTTTCGAAATTCATTGAGTGCATCTCATGTTTAGTCTATACACCAAATGTGGTTACAATCCGTTCCTCCGTTTTAGCTGTAGAATGCTGTTTATAGGAAGTGGCCCAATTATAGCCACCCCTCATATTTTCATCGATATCTATATACATATATCACCAACTAATAATGAAATTAACGCAATTTTAGCATTGGAGCTGTTTTTAGATCTACTTTTAGAAGATAGAGTGCAACGTAGACCCACCTCCTGGTTGGTGCACACTGGGCAACGTCCTTTTAACGGCAAAGTGGTCTGCAGCTTCTGGCAGTTCTTTTTTTCTACATGTTTTTCTCGTCGTTGTCATCGTTTTCGTCGTCATTTTCGTCAAGTCTCGGAGGTTGGCCTTAATGTTCTGCAATGGAACGCTGGTGGTTTGTCTCTACCAAAAAGAATTGACTTAATTCACACGATCTTTCTGAACAAAATATTGATGTCTTTGCCATTATGGAGGCAAACTTCACTCTTGATACTGTCAAATTTTATCCTTTTCCAGGATATAATCTCTACCTTCTTCTAAGTATCGAAAAGTTGCAAGTGGAATACTAGTGGGTATTAAAGAGACTCTAACGGCAGACTTTGAGATTTGTAAAGAAATGGGATCCAGCAATCCGCGACGGCATGCTGTCGCCCAGTTCCGATTTCTGACTGGCCATGACTGTCTAGCAGAACATCTCCATTGCATTAAAATATTTTCGAATCTGGCTGCCCCCTATGTGGTTCAACAGACCCAATGAACAGAGACCACCTCCAACGATGTGCGGTACTTGACGGCGACTCGGAGACAGCGCTTTTTACTGGCGTGCGAGAGAACTCTTAAGGCAATGACTTCGGTCATCTCTGCATTTTCTGAACGTTTATTCTTTTTGTATTTTTTTCCCTTGTTATTTTGTTATTATTACTATTTTTTTTTCTTGTACTTGCCTTGCCATTGGAAATAAAAAAAAAAACTTTTAGAAGATTTTGAGTATCTTTAGGATTTTTAAAGGACGACATCTATTATAATAAATCAAACTACAAAAATATTCTAATGAGAAAATAAATTTAAACTTAACATTTTGTTTTTCAAATCCATAATTGATTATTAATTTTAACTTGATTTATAAATAATAAAAACTAAATTTACAAAGTTTTCTGAACTTTTGAAACAAACAGATTTTCACATATTTAACAATTTTATTTCCTTGCTTCACAGTAATAGCCACTTGAAAGCTATTATTTATTATTATTCGTATAATGAACTTTCTTTTTTA